CCCGCTTCCGGTTCGGCATTTCCGGCCCCTCCCCCTCACTTCCGGTCCGCCCCTCCCCCCTCACCCGCTTCCGGTTCGGCATTTCCGGCCCCTCCCCCTCACTTCCGGTCGGCTCCTCCAGGCTGAAGCTGACGCGGCGCCGCTTGGACATCCTGTAATTAACGCTAATTAGCGCTAATTAACGCACTCGTTAACCCCAATCAACCCCTAATTAGCCACAATTGACCTCCAATTAACCACAATTAACCCCAGTTAGCGCTAATTGGCCACTCATTAACCACGATTAATCACAATTAACCCTAATTAACCCCTAATTAACCCCAATTAACCACAATCAACCCTAAATTAACTACGATTAACCACCAATAACGCCCAATTAACCCTAATTAGCGCTAATTAGACACTCATTAACCCAAATCAAGTTAAATTGTCGCTAATTAGCCCAGAATTAACAGCAATTAGCCGCTAATTAACCACAATTAACCCAAATTAACCATAATCAACCCCACATTAACAATTAACCACCACTGACCCCCAATTAACCCCAATTAGCGCTAATTAGCGACTCGTTAATGGAAATTGGCGCTAATTAACCCCTAATTAACAACAATTAACCCCTAATTAACCCCTAATTAACCACAATCGACCCCGAATTAACTACAACTAACCACTAATTAGCCACCATTAACCCCCAATTAACCGTAACTAATTAGGGACTCCGCAACAGCCGCCAAGGAAAATCGGCGCTAATTAACCCACAATTAACCACAATCAGCCTCCAATCAACTACAATTAAGCACTAATTAGCCATAATTAATCCCTAATTAGGCACAATTAACCCCTAATTAGCCACAATTAGCGACCAATTGGCACTTCGTTAACCACAATTAACTTAAGCCAACGCTAATTAACCCCTAATTAGCCCTAATTAACGGCGAATAACCCCAATCAACCCCTAATTAGCTACAACTAACCCCTAATTAACCCTAATTAACTCCTAATTGGCCACAATTAGCCCGAATTAACCCCCATTAGCTCCCAATTAAACGTAATTAACTACAATTAACCTTAATTATCCGTAATTAAACACCAATTTGTCACAATTAGTGCAAATTAACCACAGTTAACCCCCAATTAACCGTAAATAATCCCAATTAGCCCCTAATTAACCACAATTAACTCCCAATTACCCGTAATTAACCACAATTAACACCTGATTAAGCCAAGCTAGCCGCAATTAACTCCTAATTAGCCCAAATTAACCCAAATCAGGCACAATTAACACCCAATGAACGCTAATTAAGCACAATTAGCCGCTAATTCACCCACAATTAACCCTAATTAACCACAATTAACCCCTAATTAACGCAAATTAACCGCATCTCCCCTTAGCCGCCTCTCGTTTACCCCAATTAACGGCTCATTAGCGCTTCAATTAGCGATTAGAACAGCAATTAACCCCTAATTAACCCCTAATTAACGCTTTTCCCGCCCCTCGTTAACGCCCCAATTAACCCCGGGTTCCCCCCCCCCCCCATTACGGGTCCTAATTAGCAGCTAATTAACGCCCCAGGCCCCTCCCCCTCGCCAATCAGCCCAATTAACGCCCCTAATTAACCCCCCCACCCTCATTAAGACCCGCAATTAACCGCAATTAACGCCGGCGCCGCCCCCTTGGCCCCAGAGCTGCCCCGCCCCCAATTAAGGGCCGCAATTAACCCTCCCGACCCTCCTTAACCCCTCATTTGCATATGCAAATGAGCCGCGGCGGCGCTGCCGCACCCGGCGGTGGCGGCGCTGCTCGGGGGGGGGGGGGCGCGCG